ATACATCTGTTCTGGTTATATATTTATATTGCAGATAAATAATCTAATTACCAATCAGAAGGTTTTTCTGCTTCTGGATCAGGGATGAGCTCTGGTTCGTCATCCAACCAGCCACTTGGTTTTGCAGCATCTGGATCTACTATGGTCTCTGGTTGAGTCTCATCCCAGTCATCTGGCTTGGTAGCATCAGGATCTGGGATTCTGAGAAAATTATGACATGTATTGCATCAGGATTTAATTTATGACGTTTCAAATTTTAATGTTAACTGTATTATACCAAACCTTTCAAGCTGTATAATACAGCTGCATAAAAGCACAGGGTATACTTTAGACTGTAGACAAATAATACCTTGAGTATCTTTTCACTTTCTGTCATGTTGTAACCAACTGCATTTTAACTGTAATGTGTAATATAAACTAGTAAATTTGTGGCAAACATTACACAAAATACTTACTTTTCTCTCTCATCCCAGTCCTCAGGCTTCTTATCATTCTTATCTTCAATTTCCTTAGGTGGGTTTACTGGTGGGCTGAAAAAATAGCACAAACACTGACAAAGAACTTAGGATTTACAAAAGTCTTCTTTCACCTTTAGCTGGCTGCAAATATTTTCTGTAACACGTCATTCAAATATTGATACATCTCTTAACTATTGCAAAGCTTTATTTCTATTTAAGACTAACAATTTAATATTTTTGTACAGCTTTTCAACTGCTATACATAAATACAAACATTTATCTACATAAGGCAACTTACCTCATATCTTCCAGGAGATTACCACTATTAACCAATTCTTGATCAACATAGATCTCAAATGAATTGTCATCCGCAATAACTGGAGAGAAACATTAAAGTAAGTCAAGGCAATGCACTTCATATAGCACAGGCTAAATGATTAAAATGTATTAAAAGAACCTGTTTGAGGAAATGTTTTTTCTCCAATGCTCTTGAAGAACCTATTCTGATTTACCAAGTCCAATCAGTAATTTAACAAAAGTGTGTAAGTAGTAAAAAGACCTGTTATTTCCCATTAAAAAAATGAGTTCGCAAATGACAATCTTCACCTACCTAAAGTAAAGAGATGAGTCTTTTTATCTGTGAAATAACCATCCAAACTGCCAGATGGTTTTTTTGCATGTTTTTCCTAAAAAGAAAAGACATATTCTTAATTTTAAAAACATGATTTGGTATTTCTTTTCTTAACTGGACTGTGTAAAAGAAATTTCACTTCAACATCTGCAAATTACAGCCTGTTACGAAATGTCATAAACTTGGTTTTCAGATAAGTTGGCGAAAGTATATCATGCAGAAACTCATAATAAGCATTATACTGGACACAATTTCATTCTACTGACATACCTGAAATTGTAACATTTTCTAAAACATGTGCATTCATCTCTCTGATATCTTTCCTTACCTCTGCCTGCCCTGATTTTTTATTGGTGTGTCTGAGAATAAAATGTAGCTTGTGGTCCATCCCACACTTGTCAGGGCCAAACATGATGGTGTAGGGGGTCTTGTCATTCAGTTTTTTCTGAAAACAAATGAAAAAGAATATACACATCTCTAAACAACATATCATGTGCAATGCATATGCCATTTTATTTAATCTTTTTGGGATTACAAAATGTTAGCCAGTGCAAAAAAAAAATTGCTTTATTTATCAATATTTTATTTATTTCATTAACACTGATTCAAACAAAATTTAAATTCAATAATGCAATACTTAGAAACTGAGCAAGTTTTAAAAACACCAAGCAGAAGTGCCAATACTCTCAGCCACACACAAAATGTTTACATACCAGGTTCATGTCTTTAGAATGAGATAACAGTTTGATATAGGCTCCACCACACTCCATTCCTTCCTGGAACTTCACTTCATATCTAATTTTAAAATTGAAATTGAGATGCTTAAAATCCTTTGTATATATTTTGTTCATTCGCTGACAATTTGTCCAAAATATTAGTAACATTATTGTGGATTTCTTTCTTACTTTTCATTCCTTCTATTTCTTCTTCTTATTTTGCTTTGAAAATCACCCCCCCCCCACCCACACACACACACCTTCACTATCACATGAATTGTGACTTCCTATTGATAACAGAACTGCATATGAAGGTGCCATGTTTTCCTGACACGTAACTAAGTAACACTTGTGTTTTTATCACAAAACCTATATGCATCATTATGCATAATTAAGTTCTCTTTCCCTTACACTATAACTGATAAATGATTAAAAACAGCTTGGTAAACATTAAACTGTACTCATATCACAAAGTCCAGTTAGATTACCCTCATTATTTTGTGCTTGTATAAGGACATTATTGTTACCAAATGTACCAAAGATATGGTGATCATACACAATTTAACTGGAAAATTTATTTTAAAAATGTACTAAATGAATATAGCTATGGCATCGGCACTATCACAACTATATCTATAACCTATAAGAGCATCACATCTGACCTTGAAACTAATTTCAATGCGTCTGATGAGATTGGTTATCACTGTTAGGTTTTTAGCAGTTAAAAATTGAACAGATCTTTTATCATCATCATTATTATATAGCATGAATATGTAATTATAAATAGTACTTACTGCACTACCAGCTGTTGACCCGTGAACTCAAATGGCTTGGAAAACTTGGCAGCTATGGCATGAAGCTTGGCACGTGACTGGAATGAAGAATATAGTATACATTCTTTCTGTTCAGTTTGGTTCTTTGCTCTTATTGCACAGATGCTTCTTAAATCTTTTCCAAAATATGGGGTTTTATTTAGAAAAGACAAAAAGACAAAATTTTACTCATAATTACTGTATTTACAAAATTATTTTTGAACAAGGATATCAGTTATCTAAGAATGGTACAACATGCATACAACTAGAGAATGTTTAAAAGAGAAAAATGCTCAGCTGAATTGCACAAGCATGAAGAAATAATTGTCAGATAGTAGTTGATCTCTGGAAATGTAACTACGTCTTAAAAATCCTAGTATTTTGGCAAAAATTCTCTTCAGTTTTTTTGTGCTTTTATATGCTTAATCCTCTCACCTTTAATACTAGTCCCAAATCTCCCTGCAATGGGTTGGACTTTGGTTCTTCAATATTCCACTTTCCTACATAATAATAATAATAATAATAATAATAATAATAATAATCACTGTCAGAATGAAGAACTGAGCTTAACATTTTACCTTAAGTCAGACTCTTGCCCGTTATTTTCTTTTTGTTTACTTCATCATTTGTAAACAATGCAACAAAAATATTCCACTCATTGCCAAAGCAGCAATATATGAATTTCAAGTACACTGCAGACACAATTAACAACGAATGCCATGAAATAGCATGCCTGTAGTGGAATAAGAATACTTCTGATGAATTCCACAGGTTTAATTTATGCAAGCTCACAGCAACCACTTCCTCTACCTCACCTCAACTCTTTGTGTACATTGAGGTTCTTCATACTAAGACTAGAACTCTGCTAATTGTGCTAAATAATTGTTTACCAAGCCATTGGGATAAACATTAATTACCATCATCACCAACCTTTCGGAGAACTTAGGTCATCACAGCAATGAAACGCTAAGAGGGGATATGTGCAACTATTGTTATGTTGAGAAAAACTGCTTTCATATTTCAGACCTGATCAGAAATTGTCATTAGTCTGTCATGGATTGGTGCTTCAAATCAAGATATGCATTCATCAATTTAGGTAGTGAAGGTTTAGGTTGTGGACAATGGGTGTTACATTGCATATCAACAATATTAGTGAAGCCAGACTAGCTAAACAAAGCTTTGAACATTTCTTATGTCTGTCAACTTATCTCCTGACCTTCATATTTTGCGATGGCTTCCTCTGTGTCATCTTTCTTTGTATCTGATAAAATCCACCTATAACAAAGGGAATTTTACTATTAAACAGAAAAATAAAAGGAAATATTCTAAAATGTTATGACTTAAAAATCCTATGATCATTATTCCATCAAATGTAGATGTAGGGCATCTAAAAACAATTATAAGTTAAATCATTGTAATGTGCATTTGACAATTTCACTATTCATTTCATTATTTAAAAAAATACCTAACATAATTTGATGTGTTTTAATACATTATATTTTAATAGTGTGGTTTTCATTAGTAATTTTATGTGGTTTTAGACTCATTTACTGAAACCCAGCATTATCATTAAGTATAAAGGGCTTACAATGACAGCACTGCAATAAATCATTACATGGTTTATTTTTACTGCAATGCCCAAAGAACACTTCCTTTGCTTGAAACTTATAAAAGATTTAACTAGTTTACTTTCTTACTTATTATTCAAAACACCAGGATCATCAAATGTCTCTAAGAAATGTGGACTTCCAGAAATTTCTGGTGGGAAATACTGGACCTATAACAACAGTAAATGAAGATTTAATTACACATTTATACAAATTACCACAAATATGATCATACGACATTCAGTGACACAAACATGCCAACAATAAATATTTCAGGACCAGGACTGTAAGTGATTTTAGACTAAATTATAAAAAGATCTTATCCACCACAGCAAAAAATGTGAAATCATTATATATCATGAAATACTATTGTAAATTTTCTTTACCTTTTTTTCAGTTTCTACAGGTTCCGCTTCACCTTCTGACTTCACAATGTGACAACAGACAGTCAGCATCAACACTAAAAACATCCAACTATTCATCTTTGTTTTGATACTCTTCCCTTTTATTCTGAAATGTATTGGCATAAAAGACAATTCAGATCAATTAAGTGATGTCTAAGAATATATCTCAGCATTAAGATTTATGAATATGAATTAACATGATCGATCGAGCTATTGATTACAGCAGTCCATGTGATGAAATTATGACAATAATACCCAAGTGCAGTCATTTAGTTTACTCTGAAAACAATAACCTTTCATCCAGACCGTCATCTTAGTAAATTTTGGAGCTTGACAAAAATAATCAAGAAATAAAAATATTGTCTTAAAATTTTAAAGAAATAAAATAATTATAATTCAATTTACAACTTTTTGCTCCCGCTTTCTTTTTTCAAATGGAGGAACGTTCCCCACCCTTTCTCTCTATTGCCCCTCGCATCTTCAACTAGCAGACACCTTGCAATTATAACTACAGTACAGTACCTACTGCACAGTGTAGTGCAGTTTTTGGTGTTGTACACTGGAGTGTAGTGTATAAAAGAGACTGAACAGCGAAGACAAAATAATATTGTGGTTTATCTCTTTCAGCGCAAAGATGCTTCATTCATATTCTTAGGGAAATTTTAATTTTAACATGAGATTTCGTGCTAAACATACTGACCTTGCTGAAAGTAAACTTTCTTTCCCTAAATCAGGTACTTTGATACTTGATCGTAAAAAAAATTAGCAAAGAAATGCTATAATCATCTCCCTATTGCCGGTGTAAAGTTTGGCCATGTGCATAAAACGTGGGAAAATTTCATTTGCTGATATAGAACAAGAGCTTTGATTGGGTGATGTGGAAATCTCTAAGAAAGGAGAAGAATGCAGATAAACGTGAATACTTATTTCTAAAATGAAACAGATTTATAATATTATCTCCTTACATATAAACAAAAACAATTCATGTAATGATTTGCTTCAGAGTTAAAAGTATTAATAAGAAAAAAATCTCGCTGCACTATTGTTTATGGCATTTAACCAATCAACTTTGAGGTCAAATCAAGATAGCCCTTTTTCTCAAGTAATATCATTGCGCGTGTAAAATTGTTTTTCCATTATGTGCCAATTTGATTCAAATCAAACATTTCTTATTTCAGAAAATGTATTATTGGCCTTGTCCTGCTTGCAAATATCATAAGATTATTTGTCTTTCATTTATTTTGCATGGTTAATTTGGATCTCTTTTTTTAAGCGGTGACCCTGAATAATCAATTGTACACTATTTATTCTGCGCGTCGGCAAATAGCAGGAAAGAAGCTGACTAAGCACTTGCTGAAGAGATCGCTAGCATTTCACTGCAGAAAAATACGGGTAAATATTTCTTTAATGTCATCAAAAATCACTGAATCTTATTACTGTGCAGTTAATTAAGCATTAGTCCAGGTTTCTCACATTCTGTATTCTTTAGATGGGTAGTAAAAATGGATATTTAACTGGGTTTTGATTTCCAATATTTTCTTTGTTCGTATTTTGAGTAAATGGCCAATGTTATGCATAATTTCTTGGTATTCGCATAATATTAGGGATTTTAATATCAAGATACTTATAAAGGCATAACAAAGGGTAGACTTGAGGTATTCGTTGACCTTTGGAGTTTGATTTTCGGTTCTTTTGTCAAGTCACGATTGCAAAACGAAATCACGTGATCATCAGGTTAAGGAAACACGTCATCGTATATAAATAGAGATGATGGAGTCAGCTGATAGATAACGGATGTGAAAATGATGACTCGACAATAGTATTTTAGATAAGTTTGTGGAATATATAAGCTGAGACGTGTTAGTTTTACATCAGAATTCATTTACGCTATTCAACATTACATTCTAGAATCAACATGCAGATTTTTGTGAAGACTTTGACTGGGAAGACCATTACCCTTGAGGTAGAGCCATCAGATACCATTGAAAATGTGAAGGCCAAGATTCAAGACAAAGAGGGGATACCACCTGACCAACAACGTCTGATTTTTGCTGGTAAACAGCTGGAAGATGGCCGCACCCTGAGTGACTACAACATTCAGAAAGAATCCACCCTTCATTTGGTGTTGCGTCTACGTGGTGGCATGCAGATTTTTGTGAAAACTCTGACTGGTATGTCAATCATTTGTATGTTAAACATGGCCAAAGAAAATCGATGGCCATTGTATCATTATCTATAAATGACCTCAAGTTTCACTTAGATATCTGTACCAAATATTTTGTTTTCATTACTAGTGACCAAATAAATGATATCATACAAAGGCTATCCCAAAAGAGAGAGAGAGATGTTTAGTTGTCATTTGGACAGATGTTGGCCTCAAAAGACACCTGGTCAGCAAAAGATTTTTTTTTTTTTTTTTTTTTTTTTTTGGGGGGGGGGGGGGGGCCCTGGGGTTGGCCTCCCTGGGGGTTTGGGCCAAATTTTTATTTTAATTTTTGGCTTTCCTTAAAGCAAAACCCGGGGGAAACCCCTTTTTCAAACTAAAAATTTTTTAAAAA